AAATTCTTTCAGTATCGACAATATCGGCTTTTTTTTAGTATCGACATAACATATAAACAATCAAATGTCTATGATGTTATTAAAAATATCTTCGTTCAACTATGAACTGTTCAAAAGAAATTGATATGCTATGATTTGATCAGTTTCATAAATTATTGTATATATACACAATATCTACATGCACAATATTTGTAATATTTATTATCGTAAAATCTTTGTCTATTAAATCTTCCAGTAGTTATCTTTTTATCTAACGACGTATTTTTATGTTACAGAGAGAATAAGAGAGATTTTTATTAAGAATGAGAGAAATTGCTTCTTTTTGTTATTAAGAATTACTCATGCATTACAAAATTATAGAAATAATATTGCAGTGCGTTGAAACACAGCAAGAAAAATTGCAAACGCTGTCGATCGCAACTCACCAACGTAACCATTAATGCGTCGAGCATGCCTATGGCGGAGGCGATCGCCATTAACTGAACAAATTGCACGCACACCACAATCTCGTAGATTGGCGATTCGCAGAATGCGAAGGGCAGTTCCATTTTTATAAGTAACTCTCGACAATCGTCGTCAGTCTGCTTGCGAAAGTTGACGGACGCGGTGCTGTAAAGCAACACCGCCGTCGAGTAAACACCGATGGTCAATTTTGAGCAGCGATGCGCGAGGACCGCCTTGTCGATCATGGCGTACATGTTGGAATACTCGCGCCAGTCGTTGGACATCGCTGTCAGGAGATCGTTGAATATTCTGCAATGCAACATTTCGCAACGCGACGCAACACTGATCTACATTCGCGGAAAAATGCGCTCCTCCAGCTCGCGAGAGAAGGGAAACGACGAAGTCGATTGCCAAGCTAGTTTTCTCTTTCCTCTTCATCAAAGACAGAAGTTTCTGACTATTAAATGTTTCCGAATAGCTGCACTGTATTACTAATTAATGCGAAGTAAAAAAAAATCGTAACATTTACATTATTTTTACAGCACAAGACGTATCTTTTCAGACAGCCCGACTAGGCATTACTTTAGTGACACTTTGTTGCTTGGCAATCAACGTATTTCACATATTATTATTATTATCTTCAATTCTTAAGGATTAATTTAACATGAAAATAGGACGAATATTTATTTATAAGTACCACATTACCGGTTATTGGCCCACAGGACAATCAGCTTAAAGAAGAGGAGACTGTACGGCAAGGTGGTGCTTAAATTGTCTATCAGATTCGGCAATTCTTCGGCGCTGAAGTGCGCCAGAAGATAATGATACTGGAAGATCAGCCCTGTTCCCATCACCAGTGTCCAAAGCAGTCTGAAGAAAATCGAGGAATTTGGCCATATCCCAGTAAGACGGAGGCCGATTTCGACCGGTCGACTGACAGTGCTGATCGGTATCATCGCGCGTAAAATTCCACGTTTTCTTTTTTTTTCACTCTGTTAACGGAGCAGAACGAAACGGACGTAAGTTCCTGACGAGAGGCTTCCGTACGATCGCTGCACGTACTCGCTGAAGGATAAGCTTCAAGATATTAACATGAAGATCAGATACGGCCCCACCTTAACGGCCGCCGACCAATCGCAAACGCTAGACGTGTATTTCCGTGGTGTGCTTAGAAATGCAGAAAGAAAAAGTTACAACGATCGAATGATGATTGCAGGTCTCGAACGAGCGAAGAATCGACGAGGGCGCTATTTGGTAGCTTCCGGAACGGGAAAACCCCCTGTCGCCCGTTATTGCCGAGTGATTTACTTTAATAATGCAAGGAAATAGGAAAAAGTTGCGGCGTGCCAGTGCAAGAGCAAAAATCGCCAGAATGACCGTCGTCGAGAGAAGTTTCTGAAAGTAGCGAACATAAGTTCCAGCCATAAGAACATAGTGCTGAATCTTCGCGAATGATCGGTCGAGATGCATAAGGAAATGCAACAGGCAGAAGATAAATCATATGTAATTTTGATTTGGATGTGAATTTAAAGTGATTTTGGATCGGCAATCTATATGCTGATATATTTATGTGTCTACTGATACAGATGTCTATATCTGCCCTGAACGAGAGAATTTTAATAAAAATTGAAGACAATAAGCATTTTTTTTTAAATAGAATTTTGTACGATAAAAATGGCGAGGTAAATACTACTTCATATATTTTTAAATCATAAGAACATTTAGCATGTATATAGATATATATCTCTTCATCTCGTTCTCGAAGTTTGTAAAGAGATAAGCGGAACGTGTAAGCAATGATAAAAGTGAGTAAAATTATATGAAAATAAAATATTTACGTAGCACATAATCACTTAAAATAATACAATATATGTATATAATATGCAAATATGTGTACAAGTTTATATAGACTTTGCAAATGATATATTTTTGTTGATCAAGACATTGCAAGCAGCACCGATACGTAAGAAGCAGAAGCTTTCAGAATCTGAAACATAATATCGTTTTACATTTGAAAGAATCTTGTGGTTTAAAAGACAGGATTTTTAATATCTTACACTCGCAAAAACTTCCAAAGACAGATCGTTAAATTTCCCGATTGTTAAAGTCAATCGCTTCTGTGATCTTAATATTAAAATTAATAAAATTCGACTTTCGCTGGGCTTCGCATTATACCAAAGAGCCTCATAAGCTGCTTTTGCGACTGACTTGCTCTGCAAAAAAAAAAGAAAAAACTAGCAATAAAATCGTGCCATTCATGAAATATTTAAGCAGATTGTTTGCGAAAAGAATCTGGCTTTCTAAAGATTATATTACCATGCTGAAAAATTCGTATGATAAAACAATTGTCTGCAAAGTAAAAATTAATTTTTATACATATCACTAGTATTTATGGCAAAGTATTTAATCTAAACCTTATTGCTAAGATATTCTCCAGCAAAGCAAAAGATGAACGCTTCCAAAGTGATAGCGATATAAAAGAACAGGGACTTCAATAACATGATGTACCCTTCGTTACCTTTGATAGACTGAAACGTTGAAAAAAAGATTTTACGTCATTTAACGTATACACATATGTACATATCGAGTTTATAATTCACTTATAGCTATGTATATTATTATATACATATATATTATCTACATATGTATATCACTTATCTAGCGCATTATATTTTTATTTAAAAAAACTCACTATCACGATCACGAATGCTATGCAACATATAACTAACGTGTTCGTAAGAAACTGCATTAGTGCAATGTAAGAGAAAAGATTCTCGATATTGTCTGAGAACGCAATGACATTTTGATGTTTGCGAATAACTGCGCTCTTCGCGTCCTTATATGATTTATATTCGCAGTCTTTTGAGAAGAGTTCGAGTAACCCTCGGCACACAATGTCTATTTGCCCGCTTATGTGAATTATCTAAAAGTTTAAGTCACTTTGAAAAATGGACAAAATTTTCACATATAATACAGATCATCGCAATTATACGCTACTAAATGATATTTAATACAAAACATTCATTAAAAGAGCAAATGAAAGAAACTTACCAGTGTTATGATCAGTGCGTCCAGCATCCCAATGACCGAGGCGTTGCTCAACAACTGTATAAACTGAATGAACATGACGATTTCGTAAACAGGGGAAAATTCGTAAACGAAAGGGAATTCCATCTTAAGAAAGAGCTGATTCTCTCCTGTGCTGGACCCGTTGTTGCTGTTAAATTCCATTATGACAGAGACGTAGATCACAACGGCTATCGAATACACCCCGATAATTAACATCGAGCAACGATGAGAAAGAATTGCTTTATTCGTCATAGTGCGCACGTTGAAGGCGACGGTGCCGCAGTTGCGCCAGTCTTGCGACATCAATGTCAAAATGTCGTTAAACAATCTGAAAAGATTGTTATCTCTCCACATCATACAAACTAATTAGTCTGATTGCAGATTTCAAAGTACATAAAAGAAAATTGTAACTACAAATTTTTTATGAACAGGAAAACGGGATTGCTATAGTTTCCAAATTCTTCTCTGTCATTTTTCTATACCTTAAAAAAAGGACGTCAAATATTGACGAATAACTCGATGGTATTACGCAAAAGTTCAGCTTGTGTCGAAATAAATAACGGAATTTCTTACTTCTGATTCTGCCAGAGAATAATCAGCTTCAAGCAGAGCAAACTGTAAGGCAGCGTGGTGCTGACGCTGTCCACTAAATCGAGAAAGTTTGCGGTTTCGATGCAGACGACGATGTATCTGAACTGGAATGTTTGAGCGAGACCTAAGGAGATCGTCCACAAGGTCCGATATAAGATGTTGTAAGATCCCGGCCAAATCCCGATAGCGCGCAGCCCGAACTCAACCAAGGGGCTCACGGTGGACGTAAGATCCATTTTACGTTAACTTTAACATAAAAACCGTATTTGGCGCGTTTGACAGTAAGCTTCTCTTAATGCCGCCCTTTTAATAGCAGCCGTCGAAAAGTTACCACGTCGCAACATCGAGTAATCCTCAAGAATTCCAGAGGGTTCGTCGCCCAGGCATGAACCCGGCGATCGTCGACCAGTCGAAATTATTCATCGCACACATTACGTGGCATATTATAAGAGAGGAAAAATACTATGGCTATGATTTCAGGTTTGCCGAAGAAAAAATAATATATCATAGGTAACAAGTTTCGTGCTCCTCCACGTCGAATATCTCCAGGTGTGCGATCACAATGTTATTTGCTTTAAAAATGCAAAAGGTGCGTTTCGGGTAAGCTTGTGCATCGTGATGCGCTACCGAGTTATAATCGAAAGTAAGATGGAGAACTTCGCAAGGGAGGGAGTCGGACATCTTCGACACAACCGATGCGCGAAGCGTGACGCAGTGTTCTGTGTTCAACCGCCAGTGTGCAGTGTCAAGAGTGGATGTCTTAAGTTGCTTTATATCTAGTGTGCTGTGTGTATTATATGTGCTGTGTCCTTAAATTTATTACTTCATAATAGACATTAATCAATAGACTTATTTACTCAAGAGAGGTGCTGATTGATGTTTCTTGCAATATATTTTATGTTACCGGACAAATAATTTTGTTATGAATTGGCCTCTCTTTGTTCTCTTTTTCTTTATTAATCGATGGACTTATCTCTATTTTGAAGGCAAAATAAATAGCGAGAAATGAATAAAGCCGCACAAAAAAGTACTTTTGCACATATTTAAATATTCGTTTATACAATTCTTGCTATACGTCAGTTAATATTTCGATTCGAGGCGTTTATTGCACCGCAAGAGTTTAATTTTCATCTATATTTGTACAAGATTTTTATAGTTTTGTGTTTCAATACATGGCGTGTAACACCGACACATAAGACGCAGATGCCTTCAGAATCTACGAGAAAAAGACATAATATTAATTTTGTTGTTTAACAATTAAATTTCATAGTTTTGTAATTATAAAGAGAGTTAATTAGTAGAGAGCATGAAATAAATATTGAAACAAAAATTGAATCTCCTTTACAAAGAATCTTGCTGGCTAATAAGAGTTATCAATTAAATTACGAAAGTAATGTTTAATTCGTAGCACTTAAATATCATATTTACAATCATATCACTGCTGTCATTAATTAAAGAAAACGAAAATCTCAAAATTCTTACGCTCGTAAAACCCTCCAAAGATAAATCTATGAATTTTCCGGCTGTAATTGCCAATTCCTTCTGAGATCTCAATATTAATAAGAACAAAATTTTACTCTCCGTAGGCTTTAATTCGTACCAAAATGAATTGTACGCCGCCCGGTTTATAGTCTTGCTCTAAGACAGAGAGAAATAAGATATTAACACGATGTGAAACTTCGCAATTCTTCTCTTACTCTTTTTTTCTCACCTTGGAACTGAGATATTCGCCACTGTAGCAAAGTATAAACGCTTCCAAGTTCACGACGGCGTAATAAGGTAAGATCTTCATCATCACGATGTCGGGAGAGTTTAACGACTACGGTTCAGAGACGGATTCTTCTCGAACAAATCGTAAAATTCTGTTCGAGACGAGCGTATCGGGAATACTCACAGTTACAATTACGAATCCGAGGAAGCAAATAACGAACGTGTTTGAGAGAAACTGCATCAGTGCCATGTAACAGAACACATCCTCGATATTGTCCGCTAAGGCAATAATCCTTTGATGTCTATTCACGACAGATCTCAATGCGACTATACGCGAGTCGCGTTTGTCCTCGGCAACAGGGATCTCCAGCAATTCATGACACATTACGTCGATCTGACCGGCGATGTGGAGTATCTAAAAATGATGACCCAAAATTGTCCTGAAAGCTATACAATCTGTCAACGACTAGGGCACGTTAGGGATCTGTTAACTCAAATATCTGGCACTCAAATTTCTCCGTTGACACAGAATTCATTTTCATTGCGATGTCAAGTTTCGTTAACAATCACGCGTTATATTGATAACGCTAACATAACAAACATCATTATGTTAACGTTAACAATATAATATCAATATTTGTCATTAATATTTATGTTAGCGTTTAAAAGAAAATTAAAACAGGAGAGGAGTGAAATAGTGACTGAATAAAATTGGGCTTTTTCAGGGAGAAACGCAACGCGCTCTGATCGGTTTCGGAACCAACTTACGAATGTCACCATGAGAGCATTCAGCATTCCCGCTACGATTGCCGACGTGAATTGCAGAAGAAATTGCGTGAGCATGACAATTTCGTAAAACGGCGACGCACTGCACTTGGACGGCAGTTTCATTTTAACAATAAACCGCTTCTCTTCGACAAGTTGCTCAGAGCCCGCGCTCTTTTGAGCGATCACGTCACTCGCCCCAAATAAAAGTAGCACGATTGTATATGCACCGATGCTGCATTTTGAAAATCGATGGGATAAAATCGCTTTGTTCACCATCGGCTGCAGTTTTGATCGAGTGGACGCGCACTCGTTCCAATCTTCGGCCATCATCGTAAGAATATCATAAATAATACTGGATAACACGGCATATATACACGTAGATTATTAATAAACACAAACTAAGAGCAGTAATTAAATTTCCAAAAAATTAAATTCCACTCGGGAAAACCTCGATTCAATTTTCTATAAAAAAAAAAACATGTCTAAGGTAAAATCTGTCGCGATGTAACATGTTTAATGTTGAACAGTTTTTTCATGACCATCAGGTGTCAAATTAACTGTTTCGCTATAACACATTCAACCTCGAGTTAAAAAAAAATATTTAGTTAGTTTTAAATAGAAATATTCACGCATGTTCATTCCTTATTCACCAGTTGACAACATCGCTAACAAGTCTTACCGCCCGTTCAGCCAGAGAAGGCTCAACTTCAGAAACAGCAGGCTGTTCGATAAGCACAGACTCATAGAGTCCATGAGGTTTGGCAGAGTATCGGAACCGATGTGAGCGAAGAGGTACCAATACTGCAAGAACTGCGAGGCAACCATCGCCATCGTCCAAACGACGCGCATCAGGTATCTACACGAGGAATCCGGCCAAACGCCGATCAGCCGCAAAGTGAATTCCATCGGACCGCCGATGGTGCTCGTAGGTATCATTCTTTCCCTCTTTGTCCCGTGCTTCTCGATTAATTGACTGATTCCGACAATTGTTACAGCCCCGACCGCACCGGCCGTCTCTCCGGTCAAAACCGACGTAGATTCGCAGTTCTATCACGTTTCTTCCGAAAAAGAAGACGGACCCTTCCTGATTAAGTGCGACCAGCCGTGAGTCACGTGCTTACGTACACCGGGCACTGATATTCGGGTGGAATCTCGCGGCTAGCTAAACGCCATGTTACGCCGTAAAAACTTTCCACGAGGCCTGATTGATCTCATGGAGGCAGCGGATAAAGTGCTGCTTGCGAACGACTACCGTCCAACTGCAATTATCTAAGACCATTACACGAGGCGCACGTAAATGTATAACGACCGCTTTGACTATCAACGGAGAAAGGGACGTAAGAGATAGAGCAATCGAGCGATAGAGCGACTCCGTCGTGCGCTCGCGACACCGCCGACGAGATATCATGAAACGTTTGCTTTAAAAATGCACGGTTATAATCTATCTAATCGTTCCGCGGACTCTCGGGCAATCATGTGGAAAATTAAAATACAATTGTCCGCGGATAATGAAATATAATGGCGAGCCATAATAGTTCAATTTGTCGCATCGCGTCTGCTATACATCATGGAGGACTCGCTCGAGCGACGCTTTCGCATCAGCCGCCTTATCATTTCATTCTGACAGATTAATATATAAAAAAAAATTTTTTTATGCGTTCGAAATTAATTAAAGAAAATGTAAACTTCGTGTTTTTTTTTCCCCAAACATGTGTACACGTATCTTTTTTCGTTCTTGTGAAAATGTGAACTGTGAACTTCATAGCTTTTTCAAACATATATTATCTTTTTTTTCCTTTTGTAACCGGCAGAAACAATTTTTCAGGAAGTATTTCCTCGGCTACGATCTGAAACAGCTGCAGTAAGTAAATAAATATCGTTGGGCTTGCAATAACTCACGGCTGTGAGAATTCCAGTACCTCCAGTTCCATGATGTAACGTGACAATTTTACAACGCGCATGCAGCGGCAGCGGTTACTTCCGCTCCTGAAGTTATATCACGTAATAAATTTTATCCGTATCAGCGACAGTGAATGTGCCGCACGAGCGTGGATGTATATAAGATTCGCTCATATCTCACGTAAATGTATGCACTGCAGTCGTTTTGAGAGAAAAACGTATCGCTCAAAACAATACCTTCCGAGGAGCTCAATAAACAGACGTCATCTCCGTCACATTTCTCCAACTTTCTGAGAGAAAATAAAAGGAGCGCAGATGGAACGTAAAAATTGTAACGTTACGCGTATCCTCGATGAAAATCGACTCGATTCCACGCCCGACGAAAAATTGCGATGATATCTCCCCGCTGTACGTTCTTGCCGCACATCTTGCAAGCCAACGATCCGGCCTTCGCTCGATATTATTAAATTCACTTTTCGAGAAGATAAACCACTCGAGAGGATAAATCGCAGGTAGGTATACTGACTTACGCTCGCTGCTCGTTTCAAAATGCGTCATAATCATTCCTATAAATCATCCTTGCAGTTAAGTTATTGCAAACTGCATACGTTTGGTCATCATCCGCGGTCTCATAGGAAATCATGATGCCGGTAGAAAGGTGTTGGCGAACAAATACGAAATAATGCGAGTCATAAAAATTTACGCGACCTCTGGGACGCGAATTTCAGTAGAAAAGCAAGATTGAACAATATCGAGTCGTCGATATGGATGAAAATGTGTTTTATCTATAAATCCAGAATAAAAAGGTGAGCATGCATCTATATTGAACATAAACATTTTTAAATGAATATTTTTTTTTTAATTTTCTATACACTTTTGTTGTAGAATATTATATTTATTTTAAATCCAGTTCTAAGACTTTCTCAGCGTAATAATCCACCTTTGTGAATTTTATATTGTTCTAATTTTTGAATTTAATGTTAGAACTTCGATATAATTTATAGAATCATAGCTCTTCTCCAATGAGTTACAAAAGCGCGAAATAAGTTTCAAACGAAATCCTGATGATTTAATATAATAGAAAAATAGAGATTCTCTCTCTCGAAGCTGATACCGAGGAATATTTTTTTACATTTATAAAAATCATAGGGAATATAGCTTCATATTTTTGTTATACAAAGACTGTTTTTCTAATTTAATCACGTATGACGACATACTTTTCAGTAAAATTTTTAAGACGCTGAATCTTCTAGTCTAGAAAATATCAAATAAAAATTTTGTGCTCATGGGAACTTGAAGAATATTCATCGCCGCCATCATCCTGATATCTTCTGGAAAAAAAATTTGGATATTACTGTAGAAGAGGACGATAGCAAAGGTAGTAGCAACAATTACATGGCATTGAATTGGATTGTACATATGTATATTTCAATTCGCCTCTCTGTATAAAAATATAATATAATATACAAATTTATTTATACAAACTCTATCAAAAAGTAATAACAACAGCACTGTGTTACGCAATCGCTTCGGAAGCGTTTCTTTTGCGTCTCTCCGAGAGAAACGTTTTATTTAATAAAAGCCCCTCGCAAAGAGGGAGAACACAAAGATATTTCCGAGATTTTCATCAAATTAATGTACTCCCACGTAATATTCTTTCAAATTGTTCAACGATGCATTTCAATAAATATTATCTCAGCAAAGGATAAATTTTGTAAATTGTCCCAATGGTTGAAAAGTTATATATATATCTATATATATATCGATGATATATATAATGTCACGAAATTGGTCGTATGTGCGCCAGCAGCAATGGAAAGATATATCGCTCGTTTCTAACGAATCGGGATTAATCCGTAATTGTATTGATTCATTCGAATGGAAAATAATTACACCGTTCGTATTTCAATTTCAATAATTAGACCGTTATAACAGCATGCGATCAAAAATGTGATTACCATGCCGCAATACGTTCATAGGTTTCGTTGAAAAGCATTTGAAACCAACATTAAACGGTAAAATAATGTGGACCATCGAATATTCACGCAATCAACCAATCGATGAGTTGGTCGATTGATATATTTTTACATGCCGTTGTAAGCTGGCCCGCCGCCACCCTCCGGCACGACCCAATTGATGTTCTGACTCGGATCCTTGATGTCGCAGGTCTTACAGTGGATGCAATTCTGCGCGTTGATCTGCAATCTCTCGCCGTCTCCGCTTTCCAACGGCACGAATTCGTAGACACCTAAAACCAGATTGCACACACGTGTTTTGGACCTGCGGAACAAACTGCCCTCACACATCTTCCTCTTCAACGACTACAATGGAGAGTTGGAGAAATATCTGAAAACCACACCGAGCGTCTCCCTGGCTTGCTAAATCATGAAAATTATTACCAATTGTAATAATGTAAGTAACTAACTTAACTTTCCAAGTTATAACTTATTCGTGAAAACTGGCTGTCCTACGTCCGGCTGTCCTACGAAAATGCTAATAATGTCGCAATGCGCGGGATGATTTATTCAACGCGATTTATTCAGCAGACGCATATATTCTAGGCACTCTGCGGAGTGTGAGATTTACGCCGCGAAGGTCACGACGTGCCCTCGGCCAGACAGTCGATAACCCGGTTCCCCACCATCTTCCAGACGGCGCAGCTATCCTGTAGGAAAGCTCCCAGACGAATTCCTCGCCGATGCCCCGACTCGCCAGGCCCGTGAAAGGAAACAGGGAGACGCACCCCGGAGACGGGAGGGAAAAGCCCGGGAATGAAGAAGGAATACGTCGTAAAAATCAAAGGTGGATGTTCACGAAACAATGGTGAGAGGGCAGACGCATAAATTTGTCTGGTTCGAAGGCGTTTATGTGACATAATAGGATATCTACACAAGCTTTCAGCCGCAAAGTTTAAATAAAAAAAAATGCCCCTTGTTATAATGTTGTAGCACTGATTTAAACAATATAAATTTAAAGTTTTAAACCAATCAGGAGACTTTAAGGATTTAGCAAAAATGATAGAAGATTCTTTCGTATAAATTTTATATAAATTCCTAATAAAATTTTAGTTCTAGAGTTCCACAAATTATATAAATTCCAGAATATTTAATGGTAATTAAAAAATTACAAATTATAACTATAACAAAGTTAATCTTAAATTCATCAATAAATCTGTAAATTAATCACAGTTACTTGCTTGTACGAACACCTTAATATTATTTTTTGCAACATAACAATGAGTCTTTCATTCTTAATTATATATCTCTAATTCCATCCTTCGTGTTTGAACGATATTAATTTTATGAACTACGAATGTACGAACTACGAGTGTGTTTTGAATTTCTCATATTACAGCAACAACACATCTCTGTATAACTTCTACGAAATCATATTATTAAATTTAACAGCAATTACATTGTGCGCCTTGTGTGCGCGATGCAGGATCATATTACCGTCGAACTGTAAAATTTATATTTGCAAAAAATATAAGTTAATAATAAAAGTAAAAATATATTCAGATTAAAATTATCTGCGAGGTTTTTCAGATTAATAAATCAATATAAATATTGTAATTTATTTCTCTTATAGAAAATAATTACTTTTATATTATATATAAATAATATACTTTACTATAATAATAAGATAAATTTTCAAAAATTGTTGCTAACAAAGAATTGTTGATTATTTGTAACATTGTTTCAAGATTAATATAATATCGGAAGATTCTGAAGGAATAGAGAGAGAAAGGACAAATCGACAGCGAGGTTGTTGGCCGGAGCTCCAGGGCGCTGTTCGATTTTGGGGATTGAGCTTGGTCCGGGGTTGTCTAGCCATGCGGGGGTTGTCCGGGTGGCTCAGGTTCAAGGACACAACGGTCGATAAACCCCCGACAAGACTGGAAAAGGAGGAGAGGGTGGAGACGTGGCTCGAGAGCGGAAGTGGAAGGAGCTGGATTGCCTGCAGACTGCGAAAATTTATTGCGAACGAAATTGATCTCTCTTCATAACAATACCCTTCGAATATTGAATAATTTTGCATCAGCTAAATTTTTCGTGGAAAGCAAGCAAATGTTTAAACAATACGGAAATGAAAATGTTAAAAATTCAATAGATTCGTGCAACAGATACATTGTATTTTACTTTTTACTCCAGCAAATTTTAATGACAGATTTGGATTTAACTTTTATTAAGATATATAGTAGGCAATTTATTATTATTATTATTATTATTATTGTTATTATCTTGGAAAAAATGTAAAAAAATGCTTTAAAATTATGTGTAAAAAATATCTGAAAATGAAATAGGATACGAGCGGCATAAAATTACGAGAGATAAATATCAAACTCTGCAATGCGGTAAGTACACTACTCATTCATCCTTAACATAATGAATTTCTCCGTTTGCGCCAACAGAATAAGACCAGTGAACAAATTGATATTAATATTAATGAGTACTTTCTCTCTCCCAGCATTTATGAGAGAAAAGCATTTCATGAAAGACATTATATTGTAATTTTCAAATCATGCAGTCGAATAAATAAAAAATAACTACGAAAGAAGTTATATATATAGACATTATAAAATAACAATATTAAAAATGCGGCAAATCAATATGTAATTATTAATTAATGATTTAAAAATAATTTTATAAAAACTGTTTTGTATTTAATATATTTCTGTCAAAACTGTAACACTGAAAAATTAGCCTTTGTACTAAAAAAAATAAAACATGCTCATGAGAAAGAATAAATACTACTAAAGATTCGTAAAAATTGAATATAAAAAAATAGGAGATAATGAGACAAATCTATAAACGTGATATATTGTCTCATATTTTATTCACGATTCTAGAAATGTATATCTTTTTGCGATATAAATTCACTGAATGCATATACGCGCGAAAACATATATCAATTACGTTAAAGTTAATTTATCGAAAAAAGCGTGTTTAATTTAAAACAATTAAGTTTTTTCAGCAACCGTCATAGATTATATAAATAATAAATATATACTCGATAAATTAAAACTATCTATAAAGTTCATTATGTCAATCTATTACACGATTGCAAAAGTAAAGTATATCTAACATACAATCAAAGAGAACTCATAAACATTAGTACACACAATGCATTATTAAAACGATAAATGATAATCATGCAGTAAATTGACTTACCAGCAGGGCAAAATCGACCTTCCGGACCAGCAAATTCAGCTAAGTTTCTCTTCACTGGAACAGTGTCGTCCATCAAAGTTAAATGGGCTGGTTGATCAGCTTCGTGATTGGTACCAGTTAGAGCTACTGATGACAGAAGATCGAAGGATACCTCGTTATCCGGTTTAGGATATTCTATCGGCGTCGATTTAGCTGCGGATTTTAACTTCTTATGATCAGGACCTACGAACACACACGGTACGAAAATGTTTAAAATACCATTTGAAAAATCACAATTTATTTTAACTAATGACTACGTAACTTAACGGCTCGAATTTGATTCAATTGTTTAATAATTCTAATTTTGTAAAAAGGACCATGTTTCTTGCCATTGTCAGCCTCTTTTATGACTGTGTTTCATATAATGTATCTCAATGTTATCAGTTTTTAAGTTTCATTTTATTCTAAGCAATGTATAGTTGTATTCGTGGAAAATATTATGGTAAATTAATTGCATCACATCATTAATCTTATACTCGTAAATTCTATTTTAGTACCGAAGAAGACTAATTGTAAGTAAAGTCGAAACATTTACCTTATATCCATTACATCTATGTATAAAATTTATTTCTACTGTAATATCTTGAATTTAGCCCGTATTGTTGGGCCATTATTCCCTCATATTGCTTTGCATAAAACGAGCCTAATATTTCAATAGCATATTTGAAATTAACATTTGTAGTATTTTTCCAGAAACCTCTTAAAAGGTTCCTGCATAATCTTTTCTTACCTCCGTGGGATAAAGTCCACGGCTCCTTTCCGCCTAGTAACATGGAGAAACCAGAGTACATTAAACCGCCGTAAAGTCCAAGAGAAGAGTGGAAGCTGGGCCTCATATTTCTTACGGCCTTCAATTCTTTATAGATCCAACTACTCTTTATTTTGTCAGTGTATGTTTTCGGCTCTAAGCCTTTCGTTGGTGAGGTATTAGTTTCCGCGTCTATGATCGCTTCAATAACGCTTTCTGCAGCTAACATGCCACTTTTCATAGCATTATGAGTTCCTTTAATTTTGGGCACATTTAGAAAACCTGCCGTACATCCAATAAGGCAACCACCAGGGAATTGGAGTTTGGGAATAGATTGGAATCCACCTTCCACTAACGCTCTAGCGCCATAAGCTATCCTAGAATTAAGAAGAGTAGAGAAATACGTAGAGAATACGAAACAATACGTGCAATTAAAATTTCGTGTTAAAGATTCCAACCTTTTCCCTCCTTCAAACGTTGGTCTAATACTAGGATGCTCCTTAAACCTCTGAAACTCCTTAAATGGAGATAGGTAAGGATTGGTGTAATCCAATCCTACGACAAAGCCTACTGCAACCAGAGGTGTTTCTTCATTCAAATGATATAGAAACGATCCGCCATATGTATTTCTATTAAGTGGCCAGCCAACCGTATGCTCCACTGCTCCGGGTCGATGTTTGCTTGGCTCTATCTCCCAAACCTTTTAAAAAAATATCATACTTTAGCATATAAAACATTTTATATTTATATAATTTTTAAGTTTGTTTAGGTGTAACTCAATGATAATTACTTCTTTCAATCCGAGGCCGTATGTCTGCGGCTCGCAATCTTTCCGAAGATTCAATTTCTTTGTTAACTGTTTCGTCAGGTGACCGTGACAGCCTTCTGCAAATACGGTACATTTTGCATGAAGTTCCATACCCCGTTCGAACGTCTCTTTGGGCGAGCCGTCTTTAGCAATACCAACATCATTTGTGGCCACTCCCTTAACGGATCCGTCCTCATGATATAATATCTCTGCCGCTGCATAACCAGGATATATCTCAACGCCAGCAGCTTCTGCTTGCTCGCCAAGCCATGTCACTACGTGGCCTAATCTACATACAGAAATATAAATGTTTACAATCGGGACAAACGTATACAGTTTACAGTATAACCATTCATGGATCTATACATGACCCGCGTTAAATTTAAATTTACCTTACTATATAATTCCCATGATTATACATTGGCATCCCCTTGAAGATAGGTATAGATATCCTCCTCTTTTCCGTGAGAAATGCAAATTTATCTTCCGTGACAGGAGTATTTAACGGCGCCCCTAGTTCCTTCCAATTTGGAAAGAGCTCGTTCAGGGCAATCGGGTCCAAGCAAGCGCCACTGAGAATATGGCCACCGATCGCAGATGCCTTTTCAACAAGAGTAACCCTGAGTTCCTTGCCATGTTTCTCAGCCAGTCTACGGGCCTGAATAGCTGCCGATAATCCCGCTGGACCACCACCGACAATTAGAATGTCGGTTTCGTCCACGTATCTCTCCATGTTCACATCTGGCAGATAAAGAAAAAAACATTCTCAATGCATTATCCGTATTGTTTTGATGAATGAGAAAAATCGAAAGAGAGAGAGACATACCTTTCCATCTTGAGTCCGTCTCCCTGGGTTTCACCGTATAATGAGTAGTGATCTCAGGAAATTTCGCGTCCGAGTAAACCCTCTGGAAAATCCTTTGCAGCCTCTGTACTGCTAAAATGCAACCAAAATTAAACTAGAACATGCAGGTTCCTGTACTCTAAATTAGAACATTTTATTGTGTATGTACATACAGTAAACGCATTATATTTGCATGTAAAAGTACACACGGATGAAAGATAAAGTTATATATTAAAAAATTTTGAATTTATATATCTCAAATTTTCCAAATTTTATTTCGAATTATTGGCGCATATGCGCGTCACGTGTAACTCTTATATCGACATATCGATCACGAAATTTTAACTTTGCAAAATTTCGCGTTTTTGCACAAAATCGTATTTTTTTTGTTACAACAAAACAAATCAATACTTTTTTCTTCTGTTTTTCTTTTGTTTGGAATAAACATACGTTTCTACTGTGGCAGAAACAAAAATTTATTTCCTTGAATAAGTTCTTTTGCGAGCTTTCAGCGCTTAAAAATATAAAAATAACAAGTTCTCGCACTTTAAGGAAAGAAGGACCGAGATGGAATGTGCAGAAGCAGTTAAGAGATATTTATATATCGCGGGATCAAAGGGCACTTATGTTTGTCTGTCACGTAACGCAACCGCTCCGAGATTAAACGCTCGATATTGATGAAATAAAAGACAAAGGCATCAAAAATGCAAATTAAATAACACCACTGCATTTATTCCAGGCAATAAACTTATTAACGGAATAGCGCAGACGCGATTCAACGCGGAAAATGAGCGACAAAAAAATATTTACGTACGATCACAAATACTTTTTTACGAACGCGTCCTTTAAACGACGTTACATAACGCGCGATATATTTTATAAATTTCGCTAATCGCCTCATTGCCTCTCTCGCAAAATGTTATCGCTAAAGGCGAACGATCGTTCATTCTTCGAAAACGGAGCAGTTAATTCTAAACGATACGTTTTTTTTTAGTCGAGTTGTCAATACGTCGCGATAAGGTTATACATGGCTGAAAAATCCTGATTACGTCGACGCACTTACTGGTGCCGGACGCATTGAATATCGCGAAAGCCATAATCAATCGCGCACAGGCAACACACAACTACCGATCGGCACGATCGGCGATTTGACAATTACATGGAAAAAAAAAACACAAAAAAGTGGCACATTCGCCGCGTGTCGTTCGGCGCAAGTAGCGCCTGCCAGCGCCTGCAAAGAATAAAATTCTGTATCATTCGCTCGCGATCACGTAATTAGACGCGTGCAGGTCAGATGTCGCTGTCAGCGAGTTCAGCGAGCAGAGAGATCGCCTGTAGGTAGGTAATGCCCGTTCTAGACTGGAGGATGATCCTCTACTCTCGGCTCATCCTCCTTTCTATAGTGTACGTGACATAAATTATACATAAAATATAGATTTTTACCCGTCTAGACTAGAGCCACAAGTAGGATCATCCTCCAGTCTAGAACGGGTATAATGCGCACGATTTTGTAGTTCTCTTCCGTCACGTTATATGCACGATTTTTTGATACTCTTCCGTATAGGTTCACGATTTTTTTTTTCCCAAAGAGAATCAAAAAATCGTGGACATAGAAAAAAATCGCAAAATCGTGCACATTATCCATAGGATTCGGTAAACAGCCAAAACGCGCGCGGACATGATATCACTCTCATTCTCTCTGGTGCGAGCAGTTCTTTTGTAATTTGCTTTTTACTGCTCCGGTAAACAATGCGAAGCCGACGGTCGGTCGAAGGGGAAACTACGCCATGTTTGTGTTGCAGCCAGCAATGCCAGCATTACAGAGGTGATGGTCTGTGCGTGGCGCAGGGTTTTATCAAAGAATCTTATTGATTCTTTGATAAAATAACAAAATACCAACGACGTCATCGGAGAAATAAAATGCCGCATCTAAATCCAATAGTTATGTGACGACCGCTGAATTGTGCGAGGAATTGCCAAAAATTTCCGATTATTTGCAAAATTCCCAGACTCATTGTAGTGAGAAAACCAAGCTTTTTCAATTAATCGATATTTTTTATTGATTAATTTTCTTTTCGATGATAATTATAGCACCTCTTTGATTCAATTGAAATTTTTTTTAAATTTTTGGGTAGTAAAAGAAATGAGAAGAGGAAAATCGTCGCTCATATTCCGGTTATTTATAATTAATACGTTGTTTATAATAATAACGTTATGTGTGCAATAAGTCATGTGTGCAAAGTGTATGTGCGTAATAAGTGCGCAAACACACGTTCATATTTTTAATTATTACATGTGCGCAATACCTAATGAGTGGTCTAGTGGGTAGAGCGTCAGATTCGTAATCCGGAGAACCGGGTTCGAATCCCGCTAGGCCACTGAAAAATTTCTCAGCAACAATGCCCCCCCCCCCCGCCCCAACTAGCGGAGAGAGAGATAACCCCTACATGGAAACATTGGGCTCCGTCTTTCAAAAAGAGACGTTAAGCAGTTGGGTCCATCCCCATAGTCGTCGATCGCTATTGTATGTATGTACCTCAGTACTTCTTAGGCCCGGTCTACAATGGACGTCAGAAGTCGGAGTCGTAAGAAATTGACCAATCACAATCTATTATTCTTTTTGCGGTCAAAAAATAATGAACTGTGATTGGTCAATTTCTTACGACTCCGACTTCCGACATCCACTGTAGACCGGGCCTTAGGCCGGTATTTATAGTCAGATCTTATATTTAAGCTCGTCTTAAG